GTCTCCTGTGATGACAGAAATACCCAGTTACATCTCTCTTTTAGACGGTTCTCTCCCTCCTCTGTTTCAGTGCAGTATACATTATTGAACCCATCTCACTCAGTCTCTCCCCAACCCCAAGGACAGTCCCATTCTACAACAGTGGCATCATGTAAAAAAAAAAGGGCTAATTTTTTCTAAGTCATATGATCAGATCTCGTGACAGTGAAGTCTTAGGTCGAGACTGTTTCTCCTCATTTACTGTCTCAGTTCTGCACAGGTAGAGTTCTGGGCCCAGGGCCCAGCTGACACCCTTCTCGTCCTGCTTCTTCTCTGTGTCATTCTCCTCCAGTGGGACCCAGGCAGGGAAGGAGAGGAAACCCAGCAAGGCTGTCAGACTTCTTCCAGCCTAGCTCACAGCTCTTCCCAAATCTTCTGTCAATAATTGTGGCCTCTGAGTAGACTGGAGTAATGCTTGAGGCCTGGGATCAGGAACCAGCCTTACTAGTGGTTGGGCTTCGGTTTCCTGACACAGTTTCCAGCACTGGGAGCACAGATAGGGTGTGGCTTTGGTTTCACTCCAGGGTGGGGACAGTGTGTTTGGAGCCCTCTGTCTTCCAAGAAGTCTGCAACATGCCTCCCTCTGTTATGACTAAAGAGGCTCTTTTTTCCTTCCCCGTGCATTCCTTGCTGGGATGGGATGTCGGCATGAAGAAATTCTATTTTCTTGTTCTTAAGGCTTGGCTTTGACTATAATGTTGTCACATCTAACAAAATTAACAAGAATTCCTTCATATTACCTTGTGCAGTTCACATTCAGATTGTCTCAGTTGCATCTGAATGTCTTCTTACATTCAAGTTTGTTTGAATTGACATTCAAACGTCAACTGCGTGTCACATTTACTTATTAAATCTCTTAAATTGCACTTAATCTAGAACTGTTTTCTTTCCACTCTCCATCCTCCCCTCTCTTTTTAATGCCATTGACAGATTGAAGAAATGGGTCATAGGTCCTGAGAACTTTCCAGGAAGATGCTGGGTTTGACTTCTGCTGCTTCATACAACTAATTTGTTCTTCTCTACGCCGGGCTGTGTCTATAGACTAGGAGTTAGTCCTGAAGACTTGATTAGATTCTGGTCCACTTTTGAGGGGAGGCCGAAGACCAGAGAGGTGGTGCTGCGTTCTGTATAGTTCATGGCTCCAGGAGTCACAAAACATCAGTCTCACTTTCGATGATGCTGAACAGTGAGTTCGGATGGTGATGTTCTGGTCCTTTTATTGTGAAGTTCCCTACCTTCTACCTAATAATTTTAGAATCCATTATTAAAACCTTGGGGACCAAGTTGACACCAGTGACTCATGGCCACCCCACATGTGTAGAGTAGGGCTGTAGAGTTTTCAGTGGCTGATTTTTTTAATTGGACCAAGACTTTTTTCTGAGGCACTTCTGAGAGGACTTGAACCCCCAGCCTTTGGGTTAGCAGTCAAGCACGTGGGCCATTTGTACCACCTATGAACGCTATTCTTAATAGTCATTGCTTGAAACAGTAACTTCATTAGGAATTACAAAATAATATTTTTTAATTTAATTTTCATTTATTAGCTAAACTTCTCTACTGAAAAATATAGAATATTTTCTGATTCTTCCATAAGGGCCAATTGATTATATTGAAGTATGATTTATGTTGGAAAATGGGATAAAAACATTCCTTTCTTCCTTTTTTTTTTTAAAAAAAACTTCTTTTCTATAACAGTTTTTAGAGTAGTGAGTTGATTGCCTTCTAATTTCAAATGGTATTGGCAAAGTCTGGTGTGTGTTTTTTTTTTTTAACTTTTGTTTCGTGCTGAGCTCATTGATTTTTTTTTTTATATATTCATTCTTTTTGATGCTCAAGTTAACCTGTCTTTGATCAGTGGGAACCTCCCTGTAAGCTGTCCTGTGCCCTCGAGAAGAAGAAAAACATGAGTTTAGACTGATTAAAAATGAAAGTGTTTTTATATTAACAAATACACACACATACACAGAGACACAGATTTAGGTTGTTTCTGATTTTCAGTTATTAAGAAATACTCTTTTTTATTAATTTCATTCTTTTTAAAATTACTAGAAATATGTTTTCAAAGTTAAAACTATATTAATGGAGGTGGGGGGAGGACTGGGCAGGGAGAAAAGTGCAACAATGAATGAATGGAAAACCAAAATCACTGTAAATGTTCAATAAAATTATTAAAATAAAATTTTAAAAAACCCTATATTAACAAGAATGTGCATCCAGAGAATGTACTTGTCTCTTTCATCTCTTTCTTGTTCTTTCCTTCCTTATAGGTAATGGTTTTTGCTTCTTTGGTTTACTCCTCCATTGCTTCTGTCTGAGGTTGTTTTCTAGGGAAAGAAAACTGCCTCTGCCCAGCTGGGTTGCGGCCTGGTGTGAGCAGAGGAGTTCTGGTGGTACAGCAAGTGCTTTGGATTAAAAAAATTACCAGGAGCTCTCTGTGTAATGGAAAAGTTGGTGGCAAACAACAACCCCCCAAAATCTACTGCTATCTGACTCATAACGACCCTGTAGGATGGCGTAGAATGACCCTTTAGGGTTTCCATAGCTGTTAATCTTTTATCAAAGCAAATCACCATGTATTTCTCCCGAAGAGCAACTGGTGGGCTTGTACCACCAACTTTCAGCTTGCACTTAAGTGCTTTTACCCACAGTATTACCAAGATTTTGTAGGATTTGTGTTGGGGAAAATAGTCAGGTTCTGCCTCTGATAAATGTGGTGAGAAGCACACTTAATGAGGCCTGGGAAGGCCCTAAGTGTCCAAGGGGAACTTGCAAGAGACAGTGGTTAGCATAGGGGTGGTCTGCCCCATCATCCAGGAAGGCCAGACAGCTTTGACAGGAGAGCACTGGGTCTGCTGCTCCTATGTGACCTGCTTTCTTGGTCTTCTTTCCTAGACTTGCCAGGTGTGCCAGATGCTGTTACCCAACCAGTGCAGTTTCTGTGCCCACCAGCGGATCCACGCACACAAGTCTCCCTACTGCTGCCCCGAGTGTGGGGCCCTCTGTCGTTCTGCCTATTTCCAGACTCATGTCAAGGAGAATTGCCTGCACTATGCCCGCAAGGTGGGCTACAGGTAGGTGCTCCCTGGCTCGCTGCCCCGCAATTGCACAAAGGCTGCCCCCTCCCCCTGGACCAGAACTCATTTCAAACTGAGGTTTGGTTTTAAGAATTTGAGCCTCAACCTAAAAGGAGAAGGACATTGATTGGTAGGTACATAGGCATACATTTTTATTTTCTAAAGAACAGGAAGAGCAAGGATAAATATTTAATACCAGAAAAATAGTTTTGTAGTGAAAGGTTTTAGGAAGATTGTTGTTATTGTAGACACTTTTAAGTTGATGTTCTATTTATAGTGATGCCCTATAACAGAGTAGAACTCCACAGGGTTTTCTGGAGTATAATCTTCATAGGAGCAGATGGCTAGGTCTTGGTTCAGCCTGCCAACTTTGAGTAGCAGCCATACATGTAAACAACTATTTGTGCCTTTATGGCATGTTGTTATTGTTATGTGCCATTGAGTCTCTTGCAACTCATAGTGACCTTATGTACAATAGCTCTGCACCCTGCATTATCCTGAGCCAATCTTGTTGTCCCTGACTTACCTACCTCCATTACCCTAGTCACTGAGTCAATCCATCTCATCTATGGCATAGAATATATATATATAACATTTACCTGCCAATTTGGTTTTAAAAGGTGTATATAAAAAGATGTATACATTTGATTTGCTTATAAAGTTTATCATATTTGAGATAAAAAATACAGGTTTACTAATTGCATCACTTCCAGATGTTTTCACTTGTTATTAACAAATGGAATACACAGTGCCATCCTCAAAGGTCTCTAGTATCTCTGCTTTGGTGAGGTTTGTGAGAAATAGTCAAAACATAAGAATGGGAAAAACGATTAGCGTCAGAGCAAAGCCAAGAGATTTTACTTATTTTGGACTGAATTGCCTCCATTGTGTAAAATATATATAAGCAAGGAGTCATTTTCAGGAAAAAGATCAAATTGGAGGTGGAAACATCCCCCAAAGGTTATTAATCTGTAACTTTCCCATCCAGCTAGCTAGGTTGCGTTTCCTGGTTTATTGTATTTGGGTACTTTTGTATTTGTCTGATGCACCACTTCTACACTTTGACTTTTGAGAATTAAGTTTCTCCAAATTTAGTAAGGTTTTCTGTTCTTTGGTATTTGGAAAAAAGAAAAAAATAATAACTAAAATTTTAATTAATAATTTAATTTAAAAAGTAATAAAATATTAGCTTAATAAGTTGTTGTTACGTATCATTGAGTCGGAACTGACTCATAACTGATCCTCCAGTGGGTTTTCAGAGGCAAGAAATCACACAGGAGGAGACTGCCCGTATTTCTCCTGTGGAGCAGCTGGTAGATTTAACTGTGCACTTTTAGATTGACAGTCCAACTCCTTACCACAAAGCCACCAAAGCTTCCTTAATTAACATGTTGCCACACACTTTTAAATTGACGACCACCATGCTTAGAAACATACCCCCCCTCCATGTATTATTGTCATTTGCGGCAACGTGTTAAGTTAGAAAACATTTTATTGAATACCTGCTATTGTCTTTAGCATTATGTCATACCTCAGCATACAAAATTGGTTAAGGTTCAGTCCTGCCCTCAACCAGGTGTCAGTTCGTTAGGACACAAATGTTTGTATGCAAGATATAACTCAGCCCTAAAATAGAGGCTGAGGAATAGCACCTTTTAGCTGCTAACCGAAAAGGTCACTGGTTCCAAGCCACTAACTAGCAGCTGCTTGAGAGAAAGATGTGGCAGTTTGCCTCTGAGGATTCCCAACTTTGGGAGCCCTCTGGGGCCGTTCTCCTCTGCCTTGTGTGGTTGTTGTGAGTCAGAATTGAAGGACACAGTCAGGAAAGCTTCATGAGGGTCCTCTTTGGAGCTTTCTGGCAGAAGAAGAGGAGGAAATAGTATATCTGGTCAGGTACAGGCAAGGACTCGTTATTACAGGAGGGGTATGGGAATGATAAGTTCTTAGAGGAGTATCAGGATAAACTAGAGGGAGGGGCAGGAGTCCGAAATGAGACCAGGCAGTTGGCAGAGGCCTGGCCTTGCACGGTCTTGTATTCCTTGGCAGACATTTGGACTCTATTCAGTGGACAGTGAGGAGCCACAGACAGATTGCCAGCAAGGGAGTGAACCAGCAATATGTCTGTGTTTTAAAAAAATCATTGACCTGCATAGAAGAAAGGAGAGAGGCTGGAGTCTGGTTGAGAGTGTAATGGTCTAGATGAGACAGGGAGGTCTTGCCACTCTGTGGGGACAGAGAGAAGGTAGATGTGAGAGACACTACGGAGATAAAGCATCAAGACTTGATGATAGCTTGTATATGGGGATGAGGAATGGGGAGGTGTTGATGATGAGTTCCAGGTTCCGTCTCAGCATAAACATGTAGACTAATTTCTTCCACATGTCACAGAAGGCGGAGAATCTAAAATGCATTGAGAAGCATGACAAACCTCAGCCAGGATTGTGCAAAACCCTTACCACCATGTTGCGGAAAGGCATTGCTTGGCAGCATCCCATGCCACAGTTTTAAACCAAACACCTGATCCTGTGACATTTGAGAAGAAGCCTTGGTGGTGCAGTGGGCTAAAAGTTAGGCTGCTAACCAAAAGGTGGGCACTTTGAAGCCCATCAAACACTTAGTGGGAGAAAGATGAGATTGTCTGCTCCTATAAAGATGTATGGCCCCAGAACCCCGTGGGACGGTTCTGCCCAGTCTTGACTGGGAGTCAGGATTGACTTGACAGCAGTGAGTTCGGGTTGGGCTTGATAACATGTGAAAGTACCTCTCTGACTTTGATTTTGGTGTGTGTTTGCTGTTCCAAATCCAACCCAATAAGCATTGTAGGCAACACTGAAATTCTTAATCTTGAATCAAAAAAGTTTCTGTAATGTGGACGGATTGTAATTTTAACAAAATTATTTATTTTACCTTTGTAAGAGCTAAGAGAAACATAGCTTCTCAAAATCGTTTCTATTTAGAAAGCCTTTTTGTAAGGAATGCCAGAGAAAAATGGACTGATTTAGCAAAAGTGTTAATTGAATAATTAGCATTAAAATTTACCTGAGTAAACCTGGAAGATATGCACCAATATCATGTTTGTTCCACTTAGGACTTCAGCTGTCAATTTTTTTCGGGCGATAAGAGTATTGAGGTATAATCCATGTACTGTATAATTGAAATGTGTAATTCGCAAGTTTTCACTCTATTTACAGAGTTTTTCAGCCATCATTACAATTAAATTTAGAACATTTTCACACTCCGAAAAGAAACTCATTCCCCCAGCCTTAGGGGACCACTAATTTCTGGCTAAGTAAAAAAAAGTCACTGTTTGCCTGTTTGCCCCTTCTGGACATTTTATATTACATACATTGTCAAGGTTTATCTATGTTGTTGCATGTATCAGTTCTTCATTCTTTTTGTGGCCAAATAATAGTCCATTGTATGACTTCCCTACATCTTGTTTATCCATCATTCATCCTGGTTTAATTTTTTTACTTTTATGAATAATGTGATAGTGTACAAATGTCCCTTTTCATCTCTGCTTTCAAGTCTTCTGGGTATCTATCTGGGAGTGGAGTTGCTCACTATATGGTAATTCTATGTTTAACTGTTTTTAGGAACTACCAGACTCTTTTCCATAGTGGTTGTCCTGTATTTTTTTTTTATTTTTACCAACAAGTGTGAGGGTTTCAAATTTTCCACATTGTCACCAAGATTTGTGTGATATTTTTTTATCTATAGTCATCCCAGTGGTTGTGAAGTGGCAACCAGTTGTGGTTTAGAGTTTCACCTCCCTGATAGCTTGATGTTATTGAAAATCTTTTCAGGAGCTGATTGGCCACTTGTATATCTTCTTTGGATAAATCCATCCTATTTATACCATAGACATTCAGGGGTCTGTTCTTTTTTTGTCTGTTTAGATTCTTGGCCCATTTTAAATTGGGTTACTTAATCTTTTTTGTTCTTCACCTGTAAGAGTTCTTTATTTAATCTCTCTGTAATTCCCAAACAAGATTTGCAGATACTTACTCTGATTCTTATGGGTGTTCCTTTTTTATTAGTAACCTATCAAAAGATATGTGTGTTCCATTTCACTAAATTCCACTTCAGAGTTTTACATTGTTATTTTATGTTTTGTATTATTTGTATTTCTCTTGAAGAAAACATAAAGAGGAAATAAAAATCTCTGTAAATGTTCATTAAAATTATTAAAATAAAACAAAACAAAAATTATTCAAAAAAAGGGGAAAAGAAGAAAACATAAAGAAGCCTATGTATATTTCATATATATATATAAAGCATGTGGTTTGAATCACCATCTGCTCCATGGGAGAAGAATGAGCGCTCTCCTCCTGTGCGATTTACTGCCTCTGAAAACACACTCCAGGTTCAGCTGTGTGTCAGTTCCAAATTACGGCACACAGCAATAGTGGCTTATACATTTCATAATTTTTCTTGCTGATTTTGTTAATAATATGAGAGTGTCTGATGATGTCATTAAAGAAGCAAGTTTAGTCTGTTGCAAAAATATTATTATTTATTAATATTATTATTACTAGCAAAGGTATATGTTACTGCTCCCTTCTCAAAACTTTACAAATCATACAGCAGATGCTTCTATGATTGTTTTCTTTTTTCAAGGCTTCTTAGGATATTTGGTAAAGGTTTTCTTTTGTGGTTGGATTCTCCCCACCCCCAAACACTTTCAGTGTAAACCTTCCTTGATATAGCTGTTTGCTGAGCTTGCTTTGTGCATGTTCTTTTATCCAATTATGTTCTTATCTTCAAGGAGGTTTCTTCACAGAATGTCTACTGGGTAAATAGGGTGGATTTTTCAGTGGTGTTTTTACAAAGAGTATTTTTATATTGCTCCTATAAGTGGCCTGTCTATCCATGCGTATGTGTGTGTAATGCATAGGATTTATTGTGAAATATTTTTAAGTTGAAAGACTATAAACTCCAACAAGAGAAAGGCTCCAATTTCAGAAAAAAATTCTTTAAGACAGTTCTTTATTTCATTTATTCATACCTAGTACTATTTTGACCAAATAAAACTCCATATTGATACCAACTGATACAGAGAAAAAGAAATGTGACTGATGGCACATGAGGAAAAGTGTTGAATATACATACCATGGACTTCTGGGAGAACAAACAAGTTTGTCCTGGAGAAGGTGAAGCCGGAATGCTCCTTGGAGTCAAGGATTCTGAAGCTTCATCTGACGTACTTTGGGCATGTTGCAAGGAGGAACTGGTCCTTGGAGAGGGACATCATGTTTGGGAGAGTGGAGGGACAGCACAGGATAGGAAAACTCTGGATGAGATGCATCAATTCTGTGACTGGGGTGGTATGCGTGAGTATGTCAGAGACAGTGTGTATTGGCACAGGATAGAGCAGCGTTTAGGGCTCTTGTACATAGGGTCGCTATGAGTTGCAAGCAACTCGACGGCACATAACAACAACGACATCAATGTAGATCTAAATAGCCCCATAGACAGAAAAGCCATGGAGCACTTCCTTTATTACGGAAGGTTCCCTTCACCAACTCTGCAGCACTTGGTCCTGGGCTTCCTCCCTGTACGATGAGGGTTGGTGGTTTTTGTGTGGTGTGGTGGACACAGCCTCTCCTGCTCCATGTTTTGCACCCTGCACAGTGTTTTTGCACTCAGAGTATACTATAAGTGTTTCCTCTTATTGCTACACATTCTCCTCACATAGTTTTAATGGCTATACTTCTGTTAAGTAGGGAGCTCTGCTGGTCTAGAAACGTTGGTGTAGCTCTGCTGGGGAAAAGTCGCACTGCCAACCTAAAGGCAAGTGGATTGGATCCACCAGCTGTCCTGAGGAGAAAGGTGGGCAGTGTCTTCCCAGGCAGTTTACAGCCTCGGAAAACCCACCAGAGGATGAGCTGTGAGTCCATTCCGATTTGACGGCAATGAATTTTTAAGTTTTATGTTAAGTAGCTGTCTGTGCTTATTCAATACTAGCCTGTCGGAGGCCCAGGCTCTCTGGTTCCCCTCTAATATTCTTCCTAGACTTCTGCTATTGTATCAGACTTAAAATTTGTACTGTGTTATTACTGAACCAGTTTCCTCCTTCTCCTCGCCTTACAGCTTCTCTTTTTTTCCCCTTATGCAATTTTTTGTTCCAGCTATAGATTGCTAAAATTAATAACTATTATTGTTTAAGTCATTGTGAATGACTCCAGTTCCCAGTATAGCATCTATCCACATGTTCCTAGACAGTGATAAAAGTGGCTACAGAACAGTCTGTTGGGTTTATGGGAAAAGATAAGTTCATCTCACCTTGGGTGTGTTATTTACTATCTCTGTGCCTCGTTTTCCTTAGTTATAAATACCGCTGCTCTTTTTTGGGCTTTTTACACACTGTTGTCTGATCAGTGAGGGGAGGGGTTAGAGTTTCCTACTAGCTGTGCTTGGGTTTGTGTAGCCTTGGGCTTGCATGGCCTGGGTGACCGCATTTGGCCAGACTACCTCAGGCAGGAATTAGGGATGTACACGTGGGGAGTGGAAGACTACATACTGGGGCGGGGGTAAGCCCCTGAGACAACTCTGTTCCTGCCCTCCATTCCCTTCAGCACCCCCTCTGGGTTTGACATCCCCACCACCTACCTCTGCCATCCAGGTGCATCCACTGTGGTGTCATCCACCTGACCTTGGCTTTGCTGAAAATCCACATCCAGGAACGGCACTGTCAGGTTTTCCACAAATGTGCATTCTGCCCCATGGCCTTCAAGACTGCCAGCAGCACTGCAGACCACAGCGCCTCCCAGCATCCCACCCAGCCCCACAGACCCTCCCAGTGAGTGAGCTCCAGGGCTGCCTGGGCCTGTGCGGTGGAGCGGATGGCGTGGGGTGGGAACTCGAGGTGGGACTAGGGGAAGAGACTCCTGGAGTCCACCAAGAACACCCGAGGCTGGGGAGTGTCCACACTGGCTCAGTGTGGTGGCTTCATAAACTTAACCCCGGTTCAGAGAGAGCAGGGGTGGGGTCAGGTTGGGTAAAGGGTCCTTCTGCCAGCAGAGCCTTCAACAGCTCAGCATCCTGATGCTCATCTCATCAGGCTCATCTATAAGTGCTCCTGTGAAATGGTCTTCAACAAGAAGAGGCACATTCAACAGCATTTCTACCAGAATGCCAGCAAGGCACAGGTGGGCGTCTTCAAGTGCCCCGAGTGCCCACTCCTGTTTCCGCAGAAGCCGGAGCTGATGCAGCACGTCAAGGTGAGATGTGTTGGGGAAGGAGGCTGGGAGGGGCGTGTCCATCAGGCCAGGGGTCTGACTCTGTGCATCTTTCCCCTTACCCAGTCAGTAATTGCTCTCCTCATCCCCAGAGCACCCACGGTGTTCCCCGAAACGTGGATGAGCTGTCAACCCTCCAGTCCTCAGCAGACACATCCTCAAGCCGCCCTGCCTCTCGAGCCCCTGCTGAGCCTCCAGCAACGAGCGTGGCTGCTCGAGGCAGTTCTCTGCCCTCCAGCCGCTGGGGCAGGGCTGAGGCCCACCGCAGGGGGGAAGCCAGGCCCCGGCTGAGGAACACTGGCTGGACATGCCAGGAGTGCCAGGAGTGGGTTCCCGATCGGGAGAGCTACGTGTCACACATGAAAAAGAGCCATGGGCGGGTAAGTGAAACTACTTGGTCACAATGCCAAGTTCCCTGGATGGAAGTCAAAACCTTCCCCCTCCATCCCCACCTGTAGCTGACCCATTTGAGTTGCTGGTGTTTTGAGTGAGGTCGGTCCCATAGATCTCAAGGCATTTGGAACTTCCTGTCCACATCACCTGAGAGGAGAGGCGCACACAGAACCACTGTCCAATGATGCTCTGTTTTTTGCTGCTCCTCCCATAGACAGTGAAGCGGTACCCATGTCGGCAGTGTGAGCAGTCTTTCCATACCCCCAGCAGCCTCCGCAAACACATTCGCAACAACCATGACACCGTGAAAAAGGTCTACACCTGTGGGTGAGTTTCTGGAGAGGTGGTGCTGCAGAATGTGGAAGTTCACAGCGATTCTGTCCATGGCATATTTGAGACTTTTTCTCTAACATGAGATTAGGGCTCCAAATAAAGAGAAAAACAAGATTCTACCTGGAGAAGATTCCCTGACTAGATTAGAAATCACTAGGTAGTCCATAAAGCATCGATCTTCTGTCATCCTTATTAACTGTGCAACTTTCAGATGCACAGGGAGCACTTGAAATGACCATGGCTTGAATTAGGTACACCTTAGTCTTTAAACTGACATTTTTACTCTTTGGTTCTTTAAAGAGGTCTTTGACAGCATATTTCCCTGCTACAATGGGTGTTGATTGTGGGTCCAAGTAAAATGAAGTCTTTAACAACTTCAGTCTTTTCCTCTGTCTGTCATGATGTTGCCTATTGGTCCAGTGATGAGAATTTGTTCTGCCAAAAGAATAAACAAGCCTGTCTTTGAAAAAATGTGTAACCAAGAGGCAAAGATGGTAAAACTTCATCTCACATACTTTGGGCACATTATCAGGAGGGGACCAGTCCATGGAAAAAGCCGTCATGCTGGGAAAGGTAGTGGGTCCGAGAAAGAGAGGAAGACCTTCAACACAATAGACTGACACAGTGACTATACCAGTGGGATGGTGAGGATGGCATGGGATAGGGCAAGGTTCATATCTGTTGTTCATAGGGTTGCTTTGAGTCATAGTTGACTTGATGGTGCCTAACAATGAGAAGAAGTTAGAAGCCAGCTTCTAGAAGCCAGTGTGTAAGAGAAGTGATGGCAGTGTGACCAGACGCCCTGTCTACTGTGAGGCAGACCCTGGCCTCTCTCATGCTGACCACTTGTCTAGCACTTGAGCCCCTGGGAGTCAAGAATCAGCTCATGCCGTGTAGCCAGGTGGTACAGATATTCTGACCTGCTGTTGTCTGCACGTTAGCTGGCTTGCTGGGTGCATCTCTCTGGTAAGCCCCAAGCTGCCCAGCCAACCTGAAGACCGTGACTGGCTGTTTGCTCCTGACTCTAATTCTCTCTCCCTGGTCTACTGAGGAAAAAGTCTGAAGGCTCTTGGAGCCAGAAGCAGCTTTCATTTCTTTTTGGTTGCTTTGCTCCCCTGGACCCTGCAGCCTATACTCCCCCTTGACCTCCTCTGGTTTTGCTTCTGCAGGTATTGTACCGAGGACAGCCCCAGCTTTCCTCGGCCCTCCCTCCTGGAGAGTCATATCAGCCTTATGCATGGCATCAGAAACCCTGATTTGAGCCAGACGTCCAAAGTCAGACCTCCGAGTGGGCCTGCCCCTCAGGTGAGTGTCGGGTCTCAGCCCTTGTAGTTGGCTGGTCAGGGAGGCCTGGAGATGCCAGAGTATTGCGGGGTGGAGTGGGGGTAGGATGGGACACATGACCCGCATTTGTCACTGTGCCAGGGAGCAACTCTGTAGCCCTCTGCCACCCACCTAGGACTGTAGATGAGTGAGTGAAGCAGCCCACTGGCCATTTGTTACTGCTGTTCCCTGTGACTGAGCCCTTCTTGGGTGAGCACTGTGCTCTTGGGACATGGGGTGTTTTCACACACACCATCCTCTTTCTTTTTCATGGCAGCCTATGAGGCAGAAGCAGGAAAGGTAGGTTTGTTGTGTGAGGATAAGGAGGTTAGGCTGTCTCCTATCCTCCCTATGATGGGAAGAGCCAGGTTTTTTATCATTCTGCTGTCCTGGTCCTTTGCCTCATGGCTTCACCCCAGTTCCACACCCTGTCCCTCTTTCTTTTTTTTTTTTTTTTAATTTTCTTTTCTTTACACACACACACACACACACACACTTTTTTTTATATTATTTTTTGCGTGTACCGTCAAATCAGATCTGACTGGTACAGGAGGAGACTTCCCCCTCCTTCTCCAGCAGAGCTTCTCATGGATTTGAACCACGTACCTCTGGGATTGCAGTGCAGTGCCTTGCCACTAGGCCACCAGAGCTCCCTCCTGTCTCTCTTTCTGATGAAATTTCTGGTGAACTTGTTTCCCTTCCTCACTGCAGGCTCTTCCCATCCCTCAGTAAGTGTGCTCCCTGGAGAAGGTAGTCATGACTGGAAATCTCTGACGTCTGCCTGGAGGTCTAGGGCATTCTTAGAACCTCCTTAACTCTTAGGAGATGGGAGCCAATTGGCCAAAGCATAGAGGAAGTATAAAATTTAACGAATACCAGCTAAACAATAGCATAGCAGAAGTAGCTCACCTGATTGAGAGTTAGCCATTGACGCTTTGGCAGCATCTGCCATTGACGGAAACACACCTTACATCTCTCCCTCCCCTGCGAAGCACACCTTGGGTGGTCCAGCATTCTGCTTAGGGGATGCTCTCTGCCAGATAGCTTTGGTCAAGGGCACAAGGTGGTGTGTTCAAGGATATTCACAGCTGCACTGTGTGCAGTGGTGAGAGTGGAACTCACTCCAGTGTCCATCTGGGGGACTGTTTATATTGACTCTGGTTCACCCCACAATGGGGTAATATGCAGCCATTAGAAAGAATGATACCTCTGTATATGCCCTTTCGGAGCTAAACTTCAGTAATGCAAAAAGTCTGATGAGAAAAGTACACATGGAATGCTATTATTTTGTCAAAGAAAATAGTTGTGGTTTTATATATGTACACTGTATCTCTGACTTTCATTGAAGAGCAGGCTTTTCCATATCTTTGGGGTGATGTGCTATATATATATATATATATATATATATATATACACACACATACATACATATATATACACACACATTACATTTAAAAACAAACCAAACCTAAACCAGCGTTGTGGGACTAGGCTGACCTTAGCTAGGGGTGGTGACCCTGGAAGTCCCTGGGGTTCACTTCACTAGATCTGTCTGAGGGCTCATGTCCTGGGCAAGGCTCACCTTGGACTCTGCTTGCACTGTGTCTCCTTCCAGGTGAACCATCTGAAAAGACCAGTCAGTGGAGCAGAGGACGCTCCAGGTACCACCAACAGCACGACGGTCTCTTCCTCCAAAAGACACAAGTCCCTTTTCCAGTGTGCAAAATGTACCTTTGCGACAGACTCGGGGCTCGAGTTCAAGAGCCACATACCTCAGCACCAGACGGACAACTCCACAGCCCAGTGTCTCCTCTGTGGCTTGTGCTACACCTCTGCCAGCTCCCTCAGCCGCCATCTCTTTATTGTCCACAAGATGAGAGACCAGGAGGGGGAAGAGGAGGGGGCGGGGGTGGCACCGGTGGTAGAGGCAGTGGAGCTGGAGGCCTCTGGTGAGGAAGTGCCCGTGGAGACCAAGGAGAATGGACTAGGAGAATGTGCTGGCGAGCCTTTGTTGGCCGACCTGGAGGGAAGAGGATCACTGGCCCCGGTCTCTGAGGAGGATGGTGCCCAAGATGCTGAAAGTCACCCCCAGGCCTCTCAGGACCAGGACAGCTGCACACCATCCCCTTAGGTGTGGCAGGAGCGAGGCTTTGCTGTGTGTGAGATTGCGTGGTGCCCTGGAGGCCTTCACCTGCCGTGTGGACAGTGGAAAGAAAAGGCTCTGCCCTGGAGCAGTGTCTGCTCTGAGCTGCGGGGTGCTGTGTCCACCAGCCCCAGGAAATGGGGGTTACCCAGGACCCCAACAGCTCTGAATTTGCTTCTGTTATTTATGGCTTTGTGCTGCTTCTTGGTACCCTAACTCTCTGTCTGTGTCCTCCCAACCCCAGGCTGCTCATGTGGCCTACCATACTGTCAACTTGGCTCAAAACCCCTCTGCTGCTGTGCTCTTCTGAAAGGTTCCTGCTTGCTTCCCTCAGTCAGGGGAATCCCTGGAGTTCTGTTTGCTCACAAACACCACCAGCTCCCCTTCCTGCCATCCATGCCCAAGAGAAAGGGGAGTGCGGGTTGTTGACAAGAGTCCCTCTCAGCTCTGTCCAGCCCGCCCTGTAAGGGCCCTTGGTCACCTTGTCCTTCCGTCCTGTCTTCTTTTCATTCTTTCCCACCAAAGTTGTTTTGGAGAAATAATTGTCACACTGGCTCACCATGTCTCTGGATGGGTATACTTTGCAGCACACCTTTGCTTGGAACTGGTCAGAGCAGGGGGTACAGCAAAGGCAGGCGGGCTCTGCAAGCCACACACCCACCCCCGCTTCACAAGGAGCTGTGGATCCTTGATCTGCTGCTGTTCTGCCTTCCCTGACAAGTGGGGTTTGGGGGCACACAGACATCGGGGTATTTGTACTCTTGCTCCTGTGCCATGAGAGAGGCTGCTGTCCCAGGCAGGCCAGCCCCTCCTTCTCCTGGCTACATGTTGCTCAGACTATATTTCAAATAAAAACAAATCTTCCCATGCAGGTAGGCTCTTGTATTCCTCTTCAGCTGAGCCTGTCCTCTGCTGTCCCACCTAGGATCTTTCCCATTTCTGAGGGAGAGCAGAGCTTTCTTCCACCCAGGGAGGGTCTTCTCCAGATCTTAGCACTTGCAGTCAGGAAACAAGGATCCCTGTGCTTCTCAGTTCTCTGGAAACCATTCCTACAGGTGAGAAGGGTGTCTTGATGTTGGTCTGCACTCATCTAAGGTGTCCCTGGGCAACTGGATTGTCTCTAGGGCCTAGCTGAGCTCTGTTATCTTTTCTTATAAATGGATTCTCAACCTGAGAGAACCCTTTGTGAGGGGGAAGAAGGGAGTGGAGTGGAGGGGTTCTGTAATGTCGCTGTGGTCATATTGGCACTGCGCTGCAAGAGGGCAGAAGTGGGTCTAAGCTAGGCCGGGGTGTGTTTCCACCGATGGAGGAATGGGTCCTTGTCCTCTTGGGGGCCGCACGTGCACACGGAGCAGGTTTGGATGCCTGGACTTGGCATAGGTGAGCCACGGGGCTGGGCTGGGTAGGATCTAGTGCAACAGAGGGGAGTAGGTGCTGGCTGGACTCTGAGAGGTAGGTTTTCAAGGGAGGCATTGAATATCAGTTATAAATTGCTAAAGTAGATAAATATTCTTGACCTTTCCACAATAGAAAAAAAATTACACTTTTTTCCTCTTTCAAATGCCAGATTTTCAGTGGAAATGCTAATGGCAGTGGGAAAGGTTAGTGCATGCCTCAATTTCAGAAAGGCTGTGGCTTTGTGCCATTTCAATGATTGTGGTACCTGGCCAGGCAGCCATCTCCCTCCTTCCTATGTGGGCAGAAAGGTCAAACAGGGCCCAGTTTCAGGTGCCTGCAAAGCCAGAGTGCACTCTGAGAGGGACACTTGGCAGGCACACACCTGACCTGACGTAGCTGTGGGTCCTGTCTCCAATTCCAGTGGTGGGAAGCCACCCCTGTACCCTGGGTCTGTTCGTAAGAAAGAACAAGCTTAGAGGAGGCTGATAGAAACATTGGCAATGGATGGCTGGATCCCTCACTGCTCAGAGGCACAGAGAGAGGAGGTAATAAACCACTCAGATGCGGTTGACCTTGTTGAGAACAGCATGGGGTAGAAACAATACCAAGCCACTCATCCAGAAACCTACCTGGGTCATGGCCTGGCATCTGTGATAACTGGCTCTAAACCCCTTGACCTCACTGACCACCTTCTAAATGGAACTAATGTTTCTCTCCAGTTCACATCCAGGGGTTTTTGTTAAATAGTGAATGTGGAAGCACTTTGTAGTTTTTAAAACACTGTATTCAGGGGAGTGATTCTTGATAGTGAAGTGTACTTTTTCTGCATCAGATTCAGATGCTGATTATCTGTTGTAAATTGGTCTATGACACCTGCCTATAATTTAAGAACAGTGAGGACAGTAGTACTTTGGAGCAGCACATGTGTGCCCCACACCTTGCGATATACTTTTCAGTGATCCTCTCATTTAATTCTTAGTGTGATATGACAGCATCAGACAGAGGGGTTAATGACTTGTCCAGCCATCTATAAGTAAACAGTGCTGAGATCTGAAGTCAAGCCTGTGGCATCTCAGAGCCTGTGATCTTGGCCTGCCTTAACACGGAGGCTGCTCTGGCTTCTGCCAGCTTGTCAGTGTCTCTGGACATCCCTCCTGCTTCCTGAGTGGCTGCGATGTCCTGTGGCATGCCTGGTCCTCTTTAGAGTGCTCTTTTGACTGTGTCTAGTGACCCCAAGGAGGGCTTGCGCACCATGTTTGCTTTTGAAATTCTGATGTCTCTCTGCCCTTTCATTCTTGGGGTGTACCTTGCCATTTGAAGACCATTGATATTTGAGGACTGCCCCAGGAAAGGCTGCCCAACTATCTAGGGAACCTGTAGTTCCCTCGAAGTGCAATACTTTATGATGTTTTCTTTCTCCAGAGCTGTTCTAATGGTTGTGTTATCACTTGGTAGTATCAGAAACCCTGGCTGTAACAAGCACTTAACTGTATCTCCTGCTGCAGTGACTGCTGTCTGATGATGCTAATCAGATAAGATTTCCCACCCAGGTGGAAACTCCAATTTATGACACTCAAGGCTTGACAAGTGACTAGGATTTATTTCCCAACTACTTTATCTCTGTAAGATGATCCCCTGGATTACAGTAAAGTAACTGGTGTAGAAAGAACTTCCCATCTAATTGATGTAAACAGTCTGGTTTTTAAAGACTTAGCAGTCATGGCGCAGTAAGTTCAAGGTTTTGTCTACCCCAAGACGGAAGGATCTCTGCCCTGTCCACGCCTCTGCCCACCCTCATTTCTTTTACTTCTTTTAAGGTTTTTGATCTTTGGAGAATTAACACATGTATATGGTAAAAAAAAAAAAATCACAGTACAAAAAAACAATGAAAAGTAATCCTCCTGGTGCGGTCAGCCTCCAGTCCCTGGCGCCCCTCCAGAGTTAATCACTGTTATCTCTCTCTTGTGTACCCTCTCAGAGCAATTCTATGCATTTACGTGTTTATAAATATGTATATTTATATATCTACTTTTAATACAAATGGTAGCATTCTATACACTGCGTTCTAAAGCTTGCTTTTTTTAACTGATTCAGTCCTTTATTCCACATTCATACACAGGGTCAGCCTAATTCTTGAAATGCTCCCAGCACAGTGTCTCACACCCGATAGGGGTTCAGAAAGTATTTAAATGAATGGATGTGTTCCTGAATGAATGAGTCCCACTCTGTTGGTAGCCATAAAGTCCTTTCTTGTCCAAGATAAAAACACGATTTGATTACACAGGACTGTCTCAATTCTAGGACATGTCTCCTGTCTTTTCTAAGGAGTCTGGGCTGCTGTTCATCTTCTCCACCAACAGATGCCAGGGCAGCCTCAGGGACAGGGCATAGAGCCCTTTCACAGAAAGGAGCAGGGATTCAGATCCAGATCCCAAGTACGGAATATTTATTTGCTCCTTGTTTAAAATCCCTTTTCTCTTTGGAAAGTTATATTAACATTTTTTTAATTTTATTATTTTTTTAATGTGTGTACCATCAAATCGGATCTGACTGGTTCAGGAAGAGATTGGCCCTCCTTTTCCAGCAGAGCATCTGGTGGATTCGAACTGTGCACTTTTGGGATTACAGTGCAGCTTCTTGCCTATGTAACATTGTTTTAAAACATGTTAATAATGCACATACTTAGAATCCCATTCCGTATTACATTTACAGTTTTGTTTCTGCAAATAACTTTTTTTTTTTTTTTGGCAAATCACTTTCTAATCCTTGTTAAGGAAACTCACACCTGAATTTATGGTAGAATTATAAGGGACGTGAGTACTGAACATTCCTGTATGTCAGACATTATTCTTCTCATGTTACATCCATTCTGTCATTACAGTTCACAATAATTACATACTATTCAGTACTATTGTTTTCCTCTTAGAGACCGTGAAATAGGGGTTCAGAGTGATTGTGAGATTTCCCTAAGATGACGTAGCTACTTAGGGGCTGAGCTGGGATTCACATTTACAGGTGTAACTAATACTATACTGCCTAAGAGCATTTTGTATCATGCTTTAGCTTCATTTTACATTATCCCTGGGTGTTTTCCCATGTTTCTCCAGGGCCTTTAAATTACAATTTTATTTTCAAGAATTCAAATGCAAATTTAACCTAGTTTATGTAACCATTTCTTTTTTAACAATTTCTTTCTTTTAATTTTCCTGCTTCATCAGTGTAATGAAAAATGATGGTCACATGGCTTTTTTATAAACACAGCAGAACATCTGCCATCAGTTTTCACATGTTCAGTCCAATGACACTGATTCCTTTGGGTTGTGCAGCCATTCTTGCTCTCCTTTCTAAGCTGTTTCTCTCCAAATAACAGACTCACTGCCTTCGAAGTTTCCTATCTAGTCCTTTGACTTTGAGCATTCAGCTTTTTGTTCCTGCAGAGTTATCTCTGCAGGATGTGTTTCCAAGAACTTATCCCTATTTTTCTTGACTAAACTCACTAATGGGAGTTCCAGTCACCTATTCTGGAGGGAGTGTTGCAGACTAACGGTAAAGGATTTTTATAATTATTAATAATGAGACAGCCAGCCAAG